GTCTTTATAAAGATGTAACGTCAAGTTTGCCAAGCAACGTCGTCTTTAAAAAGACGCACCCGAAATTGCTCTTTTAGGGGAAAAAGCTCTTTTAGCGTGCTGAGGCGCACAGGGGAGATGATCATCTGCAACACAAACAGGGGGTAGTGCAGCCTGAAGTGTCCAACCCACTCGACATGGGAAACCACCACCGCTGAAGCGCCGTACCGCCAACACGAAGAGCTCTCCAAGAGCGCGCTGAACTCGTTCAGTCATCTTCTCTCAGTAGAGTAGTCAGGAGCAGAACTAAGTGATCGCTCGGCTCCGAAGCGAAAAGCTGAATATGCGCTGCATCTGCTGCCTACTTATACTCACGCTGTGATCAGCAGCAGCTGGATGCAATAATCGCATGCCAATGTGCATTGGCTCGTTTAGTTTACACTCGAAGTGGATTGGTCTCTCTAAGCGAGATCCCAATTTCGTCGGTCATCCGACGTGACGTCGAGAGTGACCGACTGAAAGGGAACTGCCATTTAATCTCCCTCCTGTCATTCCATCTCATAAAAAAGTGTGCATTTACGACACAAATGAAGATGTTTAACCCAAAACTCTGACACTTCAAAATGTTCCTAAAGAAACCATAAAATAAATCATTTTGAATGGCACCATTTAATCTACTTTTGGGCCAAACTGTTCTATGAATGTTAAGGAGCAGTGTCAGTTATATTTTCACATTACAAACGATTCTTGATCTGGAATTCTAAGCCAGACACGCTAAACCGTGCTGTAGAATGCCTGTAGTGACGTTGCTGCTCAGGATTGGTCGGTTGTCTTTTGCCTAACCACCAGTTTCTCTGTAGCTGGCCAGGACTGCTATTTGAGCAAAGTAAATAAGTTAATAGTAAAATTTTAATAAATATTTCATCCTTCATAATATGGCTGCTATTTACATCTGGTACCATATCTTAACTCTTGCATTACCAACACATTTGTGTTGCACTCCAAAGAGCTCTGTTAACAGCCCAACAGCTCAAAAATGAAACCACATCTCTATCAACTTGGGCCGGATCGGCACAGAATGGAATGGTTAAGCAATGAGAATGGTTTGGCCTTATGGTGAAAAGGTGGCTCAAGTCTTCTAAAGAGACATGATCGCTTTATATGATCAACTGTCTAAAGTTTTGGGTAAATAGACATTCAGTTGAAGGACAGAAATTTCTCTGATTTCATTGAAAATGCCTTTGTGATCCGAAAATAAACAAAACTCATGGGTGAGTAAATGATGACATAAATTTCAAGTTTGGGTGAACTGGCCCACTGGGATGGCAGTGTAGGTGTAACTGACCATCCACATTTGCCTACTAATATTGTTTTTGTTTGGTTTTATACAGGTGTCTTGATGTTGATGCAGTCTGGGCACTAGTATCTTTTCGGTTGCTGACTATCATTGAAGATTAAATACTTCTCCAAATCTTCTCTGCCTTGACCCTGTGTCTTCTGCCATCATTGTTCAGAGCAGTACTGCAAAGAACAGTCCCCAGAATCTACCTCATCCATTTGCTTCTGGACTGCCATGTGCTACATTTGGATTACCCTAATACCGTTAGAAACACTTAGTGTGATGCTTGACTTGGGACAGGAAAAAAAAACACTGGCAACTTGTGCGGCCAACCCAATGCCTTACTTAAACTCATCCTATACTGCTACCTCCACTGTTTACAAGAAGTATACCCTAAATCAGATTGTTTTTGCTTTGTAATACAAGTTAAAACTGCATTGAAAAATGTAAAAAAAACTACATTACCTTTAACTTTGAACTGTCACTACCTTAAATTTAGCTGTATGTGCACGATGAATGGAACATTGTTTTCATTCATTTATAATGGATATTTGAAGCACTTAAGCTTACTGGTTTTAAGGAAATCGGTTTGCATGGTTTTAGCAAGTACATTATATTGCTGTTACAGGAAAATAAATACAACTATGAAATTCCAAGTTGCAGGAAATGTTACGAGATAACTCAACTTAAATGAGTTGTTTGAAATACGCACATAGTGTATTGCAGTTAATCATTCCGTTGAAAATAGTGATTCTAAGTTACCAGAACTTGCGTGTAAGTTTACAACAGTAAATAAACCTTGGTTAATACAAATTACTATTTTTATTTCACTTTACTTGTTTTTTTCAAGGCAATCGGTTTGCATGCTTTTTAAAGTAAGGTTTACTAATTACAATTTACCACTCTCTCTCTCTCGTGCTTTAAAGTGGGGCAAACCTCATATTATTTTTTTTTTTACATTTAGATCTTATAATGTATTTGCCAATTACAATTAATATCCGAGGACATGCAGCATAGTATACCATGTTGTTATGGCAGTGGATGGCAACAAGTGACTGTCTTTATGAGTGAATCATCAAATCAGTCAGTCAAACAATTTATTCAAAACACTGATTCATTCAGGAATGAAACAGCCATCTTTATGAATGAATCGTTGAACTCTTCAGTCAACCGATTAATTAAACCATGGCTTTATTCAGGAACGAATCAAGTGACTGGCTGCTTCCAAAACTGCATACTCTCTGAATAAGTACATATTTTGAATAGCCCAATTACATATTATGCATGTGTACTTCTATAGACATACCACTGTTTTAACATACTGTTGTTGTTTTTTTATTATTATTATTATTATTTATTTATTGCCCACTATAAAATAGCTAAGGAAGCGGGCATATTTGGATGCAACCACTGTATTTATGAGTGCATCATTGAAACATATACCAATCTCAACCAATTTATTAAAAATATAAATTCAATCAGAAAAGAAACAACCATCTTTATGAGTGAATAACTGAATAATTTTTCAAAATACAGGCTGCATCTGAAATCACATAATTTACTATATATATTAGGTGAAAAACAGTGCGTAAAGAGTAGAATGTCCCAATTCACAGTTTAAGTTCCTTTAATGAGCCGATCTTGCTCTAAATGCATTAGTACTCTTAACGCATTATTTTCTGTGGTGATGAAAATAATATTTCTTAAGAGTTGATATGAAATTACACTGAATGTTCACTGGACAAACAGATTAGTTGATTATAATATTGACTCTGCCCTTTGAGCTAATTTGACAACCTTGACATGGAATCTGCTTAAATAGTCAATACTGCACTGGGCAAGTTAAATATTGATACTATCATTGAATACCATATAATTAATATATTATTTAACAATGTACTCAACTTGCAAGGTGTTAGCATCAAACATTTGGAATTCAAATGTAAACGTACAGTTTTTTTTTTAAAGAAAATAAGTGAAATAAAACAGCATTGCTTTTTACTGTGGAATGTTTTTAGATGAAACGCAATGCTCCTACCATGGACTCCACTGTGGCATGAATTCTCTTCCTTTAAGAACAGTACAGAAAATAAGAAAGAAATGTAAAAGTAAAAAGGTATTTATTTTTTTATTGCACCATATAAAGAATAGTATATATTCTGTACGTTAAAAGGGGCTCAGGTCTTCAGGGAGTGTCAGTCTCAGAGACAGTGGATGTCTGAGAAGCAGTAGCTGGATCAGATCCATTGGCAGTTCAGAGGCAGTAGCCATCTGATTTTCAAAGTCAGAGTCAGAGACAGTGGAAGCTTCAGAGGTAGTGTCAGTCTCTGAGGTAGTGTCAGTCTCTGAGGTAGCGTCAGTCTCTGAGGTAGCGTCAGTCTCCGAGGTAGCGTCAGTCTCCGAGGTAGCGTCAGTCTCAGAGGTAGCGTCAGTCTCAGAGCCCCTGGCACCCTCATTATATTGAAGGGCAGTCTCCGAGGTAGTGTCAGTCTCAGAGGCAGTGGTAGGCTCTGATGCGGTGTCAGTCTTTGAGGCAGTGGAAGTCACGAGGCAGTGTTGTCTTCGAGGCAGTGTCAGTCTGAGATGTACTATCAGTTTGAAATGCACTGTCAGTCTGAGATGCAGTGCCGGTCTATGAGGCAGTCTCAATTTGAGAGGCAGGGTCAATCTGAGAGGCAGTGTTAGTCTGACAGGCAGTGTCACATTCAGTGGAAGTGTCATTTTTAGACGCAGGGCCAGTCTCAGAGGGAGTGTCAGTCTCAGAGGGAGGTTTAGTCTGAGAGGCTGTGTGAGTGTAATAGGCAGTGAAAGTCTCAGAGGCAGTGTCAGTGTCAAGGGCAGTGTTATCTCTGAGGCAGTGTCAGTCTCAGGGACAATGTCAGTCTCATGCACAATGTCAGTCTCAGGGACAATGACGGTCTCAGGGACAATGACGGTCTCAGGGACAATGACGGTCTCAGGGACAATGACGGTCTCAGGGACAATGACGGTCTCAGGGACAATGTCAGTCTCAGGAACAATGTCAGTCTCAGGGATAATGACGGTCTCAGGGACAATGTCGGTCTCAGGGACAATGGTAGTCTCAGGGACAATGGTAGTCTCAGGGACACTGACGGTCTCAGGGACAATGCCAGTCTCAGGGACACTGACGGACTCAGGGACAATGTCAGTCAGAGAGACAGTGTTAGTCTCAGGGACTATGTCATTCTCAGGGACCATGACAGACTCAGGGACAATGTTAGTCTCAGGGACGATGGGATTCTCAGGGACAGTCCCAGTCTCAGGCACAATTTCAGCCTTAGGGATGATGACTGTCTCAGGTGCAGTGTCAGTCTCAGAGACTGTGTCAGCTACAGAGGTAGTGGGAGTCTCAGATCCTGTGACAAAAGATGAAGAGAGCACAAACTATTATAGTATCGGATCTACTTTATTGTTATCAGAATAATGGTTACTGTGATTAAGGATTTTCAAATTTGGTTGATTCCACATCGTTATATACGTATGTGTGTAATCACTTCATTGGAGGGAAAACAACTTGATAATATGAGTGAAATCTATTTTTGTTCCATTTTATCTGATATAGTCAACCTCAATATGTCCACTCTATTATGGGATATAGGGGAAAAAATCAGTAGAATTTTTTTGTCCACATTGTTAGCAAAAAATACTAACAATTCAGTGTCAATCATTTTTTGGGGGAATATCAATAGTATAAAAAGCAATCAAAAACGTACTTTATACAATTGTATATGAAAAGGAGAACATTTTTTCAAATTTATCACCAGATAAGCATACGTCTTTTAAACGGTTGTTTGTTTGTTTCTAACAGGGTGGACATTTTTGGTCTCTCAATTCAGATTGAGTTTCATAAATGGTTAAATTTATTTGCCTGAGCTTGATTTATAATAATGTTTTACAACTCCCATAATTACACCAAAAATGTTTGATTTTCTACATTTTATTATACCCAAAATGCACCAAACACCAGGAATGACTCATATGCTCAGATGGATGAATAATGTGCTTAACGTTACCTTCTGTGAAATGCCACTCCAGTTGACTCTTGGTTGTCTTTTTGGAGATTTGTTGTTTGGTGTCCTCCTCTTTAACTGTAACTTATTTGGTTAATTATTTTTCACCCTGAGTACCACCACAACATCAACAGACTGGCAGTGATCAGCATGCTTTTGTTTTTGGGAACCAGTTGAATTTTCTAAAATCTAGATAAACGCAAAGTCTTGCAGACTTGATATATTGGACAGAGAGAATCTTGCTGTCGAGCAGAATGTAAATTAGCAGACTGAGTTTTGAAAGCGATCAAGCAGAATGAGTAGCTATATGCAGATTCTGAACATTCTAATTTCGAACCTGTGACGTCACAGTCATCGCCGGAGGGAATGAAGAGATGTTTATTTACCGTTTGTTTATTATTGTTATTATTTTACTATGGGCTACCAGCAAAAGAACCAAAACCTCGAAATACATTGAATAAATATAACAAACAAGAGGATAAAATTACACTATTTTCACTATTCAATTAATAAAATTGTTTCTCAACTGAAAAGCTACATGTCATTTCTCAGCATGGAGGTGAGAAGAAAATGACTTATTGACTCAAATAATACACACGCGCTCTCTCTCTCTCGCGCGCGCGGTACGGTACGAGTGAGTTTTCCTATCTTTTCTGTCTTTTGCTGTTTCTTTTCGACCATTTCTTGTTTGGCAAACGTTTTGCTAAACAACTTGTGGTGCTGATAAAGATCGCAGTATATCAGCGAGAGCTGCTCGTTCGTTATTCGTTGCTGTCCTGAGTAGATGGTGATTTAAATAAAATACAGATTTCCAAACAATCCAAACATATGAGTATCCCCTTGAACTTGGTAAAAAGATAATCTGTTTACCGTCTTGACTGGAAAATACTGTTTTCATGGTCATTTTTTCATTTATTATTTGCTAACATTAGTGAATGTTTACATCAGAGTGCACGTCTACCCTGAAATTAATACGGGGAGCGGCTGGAAATAGCGACCTCTCCTGGTTGGAGATAATATTAACATAATAAACTGAAAGCAACCTTTACGTGACTTGCTTTTCAAATGTTTTAAAATGGATCATCTGAGTCTAATATGATCCAGCGGGCCGTACTGAAAGACACTGCGGGCCGTATAAATGATTCAGAGAAGGCGTGGGAGAAAGTGCTGTGGTCAGATGAGACCAACATTGAGCTCTTTGGCATTAACTCTACTCTGTTTGGAGGGAGAGAAATGCTGACTATGACCCCAAAAACACCATCCCTACAGTCAAGCACGGAGGTGGAAACATTATGCTTTGGGGCTGTTTTTCTGCTAAGGGTACAGGACGACTTCACTGCATTGAGGGGCAAATGGACGGGGCCATGTACTGTAAAATCTTGGACGAGAACCTCCTTTCCTCAGCCAGAACACTGAAGATGGGTCATGGATGGGTCTTTCAGCATGACAATGACCCGAAACATTTTCAATCAGAGACAAGGCAACAAAGGAGTTGCTCAAGAAGAAGCGCATTAAGGTCATGGAGTGGCCTAGCTAGTCTCCGGACCTCAATCCTATAGAAAATCTGTGGAGGGAGCTGAAACTTTAAGTTGCCAAATGACAGCCAAGAAACCGTAAGCATTTAGAGAGGATCTGTAAAGAGGAGTGGACCAAAATCCCTCCTGAGATGTGTAAAAACCTGGTGACCAACTACAAAAAACAGCTTGCCAACAAGGGTTTCTGCACCAAGTACTAGTCATGTTTTGGTTGGGGATCAAATACTTATTTCACTCACTGAATTTCAATTTCTAACCTTTATATAATATTTTTCTGGATTTTTTTGGTTGGTATTCTGTCTCTATACGTTCAAATAAACCTACCAAAAAACTTTACAGACCCTTAATTTTTTTGTAAGTGGGCAAACTTACAAAATCAGCAGGGGATCAAATAAATATTTCCCCCACTGTACATACATACATGCATATATACACAGTGGTGCTTGAAAGTTTAACAACCCTATAATTCTTCTTTAAAGGTTTGTTAGTTTTTACATTTTTCTACGGAGCATTTTTGTTCATTCCCATTATTCACAAAAAAAAAACCTAACAGGCCACATTCTGCATCTTTCTGCCAAATCTTTTGACTTCTCAGAGAGTTTTTACATATTGTACAATGCTGTCCATACCCTTTTGAGAAGACAAATGTCAACCAGCCCTGGTTGAAGAAACTGATGATTCCGTGGAAGCCATCAGATAGATGTTCCCATGTGACATCCACTCCTACATCCTTCAGTCGCTTAAGGAACAGAATGCCATAATCCCACAGTACATCAAACTCACAGGTCAGGATGAAGGTGGGAGGTGCGAGGCGAAGAACATCATCCTCGTCTAGTAAAGGGGAGATCTCTGGATCCAGCCCATTTTATGATGTGATAGACATCAGCATCATGGCTTGTGATAACCACCGGACATCTTACTCCCTTTCTAAACTGAGGTGGAAGATTTTCTGGATCCAGCCATTTCTTATAGCAAAGTTTTAGCTCGACAGGAACATGCTTGCCTTTCAGAATCTGCTGGCTCCACAGACGTATTCCCGTTGAGGTACTGCAGGAAATAGAACACCACTCGGCCTCTGAACAATATGGGCACAGAGTGGTTCAGCTGGTATGAGGGCAGGTGGAAATCTGCAATCTGTAGTGCCGGGTAGATGAGAACCTGGGCACAGGGAGATGGCAGATGACCATCCTGTGACTTCGACAGCCTCTGGCAGAGAGCGGCTGCCAGGTTCGCCCCTGCACTGTCCCCACCAACTGCCACCCTGCGTGGGTCCACCCCAAAATCGGCTGCCGCTATTGACAGGAAGTGGCGAGTCACGACCTCACAGTCATCTAGGTGGGCAGGGTACCTGTGCTCAGGGGCCAGACGGTAACAAAACATGTGAAACAGAAAAAGAAAACAAGACGGAAAATGAAACCAGCCAAAATTTAACTTGATTTTTTACAATCAATGAGTATGTCAAAATTCACCTAACCCAACAGACACAACTGTGGTGTCACTCTCCAGTGAAATATACCGACACACTTCATTGTAAACATATGTGAAAGATCAAACAAACAATGAAAGCAGGTTAAACTATGGACACAACAGTATTTCACTGTTTCTTTAAATTACGATTGCAGCCAAACACCCATCCGCGACCATGAAAGTACACCAGGCCCCTTTTCTTCTCTCCTGGGGCAGTATTAGGCTCATACACCCTCACTGGAACTCCACTGAAGGTCAAGTCCTTAATACGAAGCCCGGAAGGCACTGGCCTTTTGTGGGCCATGATACAACATCTGAACCTTCGTATAAAATTCATCTGATTGCACAACCCCAATTGCCCCAGAATTTGGCCCTAAAGGTTGGTTGAATTCAAAACAGACTCGTTGACAATGATTGGCCAATTCATGAGACTCACTGTGCAATTAAATGTGCCACTCAGTGGGTAAAGAAGTCCACTTAGCCATTTAAATCCTGTACTCATATTCTGAGACAAGAAGAACAGCTCATATCTCTTTTTAATTATCCTTGAGAGAATATCGAGCTATAGTGCTTACAGAAAAACATGTTTAGTCTGCAGTATAAATTAGAATTTAACAAGAAATCAGAATATATGATTGGATTTGCCAGCAAACGCAACACAAACAGCATTAAACACTCACCACAATGCTTATCCCCACATACACACAATGAGTCACGCGTAGTTTCCAAGGATTAGCAACTCCATGAGGAATATTTATATTTCTTAGCCCCGAGTACACTGGGACAACTACTAATAAACAAAAAGCAGCAAAAAGAGCTGCAAATACAATGAGCAATATTGTGATTTCAGTGTGCATGGCTGGTTCAACGTATTGCATTCACAGCAAAAGATGTTCAAAATATTCCCTCCCCTTTATAGTGTAGGTGCAAGTTTAAGGTGTGCCAGAGCTGCCAGGTCTACTGGTTTCACACAGAACTAGGCTAGATCAAGTGCTGATTTTTCCCAGAAGACAGCTTTAAATTAGATTTAGATGTATTTTCAGATAATCTTCTACAAAGTAAAACAGATTTTATTTTAGACTAGATGTGTTTCAATTGTAATACAGGACAAAGTTCACAAAATAGTGTCAGCCAGTGTTGGGAAGGTTACTTTGGAAATGTAATAGGTTATAGATTACACATTTTTTTCTCAGTAACTGTAAAGGTGTAATTACATTTATTTTGTAATTAAATTACATAGCATCGTTACATGTAACTAGTTACTCCCCAATGCTGGTAACAGCTCTAGTAAAAGCATATGGCACTGTATGAATTTATACTAGATGAAAAGTCTGAACACAGTACAATTGAAATCTGCCAACCCTGACTAATGCCCACTAGGTATGTTCTAACTGACCAGATAAGCTCATTAGTATTTCAACAATGCACATGAAAATATGATGGCTGAATGTTTACATAACATAAGAGATAACTGATGGTGGCACAGCTTTAGTGAAGACAAAACGCTCATATTCATCAACTGGAAACTAACTCAGTTCCTTTAATCCTTTTACTGTGCAAATGATAAAACTATCTTCCATGACAGACAATGTCTGCACTATGGCTACCACTGAGAATACATCAGATTTAGTGAACTTTCACTATTGATCTGTAGATGGCAGTGACACTCTAACTGAAAAGAAAAAGCCTTTTTGTTCAGCATCATCATGCTGTTATATCTCCACAACAAAATGTGCAAGATAAAATAAAACCATCAAATAAAAACAGAATAATGGTTGTAAAATATTGTGCAACATAAGAAAATTACGTCAGCATCTGTGATTTTAGGCCTGTTTTTGATCAACAGATCCAGAAAAGGCCAAATTCAAGTGAAACATGCTTTTTTCCACCCACCAGACAACCATTAAACTTTCTGAGAGTTGCTGGGCCATTACTAAAAGGCACAGCATAGCACAAAGCAGTCTTTGTGAGGCTGCATTTTGACCCGGTCCAGTCTGAGCAGCCCTCCATTCAACTTTAAGCAGTAGAAGCAGAAGCCAGGCCAAAAATCACAGTCTGGAATATCCAGTCTGGCTCCAGGGTTTACTGTGTGAGTTTAAGAGCCATTTACAAAGGTCTCCATGTTCTGGAGGTGCACTGGTCTGCAGGAATCCTTCCTCTGCCTGAGTCGGAGCACTGCGGGCTGAAAAGAGCAACAGGATACCCAAGTGTAACAGCATGTAAAGCAAACCACATGCTTGTTTACACATATTGAAAAGTTGACGTGGAAAATAACTAATATGATAAATGAAATTAAAATACGCGAGAAAGCTTCTGTCTGAAGGTATGCAATTTTGTTGTTTGTCTGTTTTGTACAGAAACCTTGCAAAAACGATGCCTAGATCCCGTTTGTAGGACCATTCTTCTTTTGATTTAACAAATAAATTACAATCCACTATAACATGTAGCATTACCTCGAAACAACACTGTAAACAAGCTAGCCCACTTGTTTACTATGCAGTGAACAAAACAAAGGTAGGCATGCTATTCAAAACATTATAAAGGTCATAAAATGCAATTTTCTAATTGTATATAACACTTAATTTCACTTTGTTTCTGTTAATACAAATGTTGTCAAACCGGTTCATTTTCCCCCGTCAGTTTAACAAATCTTCTGTCGTGTTGACACTTGTGTTAACTGGCAGCTTTATCAGTCTTACCTGTAACATGTGTCAAAGCACTTAAACAGCTAGGTTGTTAAACCCAAAAGCGTCGATCCAGTGATTCATGCAAACGTAACCAATACGAAACGCATGGTGTTTCGTTCGTGAATCTGTTTTGAATCGACCTTCTTTATTAAGGAACGACCTAAAGAATAAACACGGTTTTGTTGTTCGAGTCTGACCAAGCGGCACTAAACGATACTTGACATGAACCAACTTAACTGAATTATCTCGTTTGTTTACAAGAATCTGTTGACCGACACCGATTGGATACTATCGACTGAACGAGCCGTTTGTCCAGCTCGTAATTTTAACGTCAATTTAATCTCGTTCACAACAAGAAGAAAGGCTAAGAAGAATATTATGAATGTGTCAAAATGACTGAGCATACACAATTAAAATGACTCATTATTTATTATTTTTTTTCTACAGCTTGATTAAAGTTATGCCCAGTAGCTGACAAAATATTGGGAATTATATTGTCATTTGTGTGAAAAAAGAAATAGATCTACATAGCTATGCAATTTTATTAATAGAGGACATGTTTCTACTCTACGTTTTGTGTGTTTGTTTGTGTGTGAATACGATTCGAATCGAATGATTAATGAAGTGAATGATTAAAGGACTCATAGCCCAAATGTTCGCTAAGCAAATCATTTCAGTGAGCCGATTCAAAAGATTCGAATCACTGGAATGAAGCAAAAATCCCCACCACTAGTTACAAAATAAGCGCAGGTTGAAAGGCAACGAAATTGCCTGTGGCACCACTTCTGGGGGAGGGGACATAACCGTCATAAAGAAACCCTCACACCAAGGTTTGATAAAGCGATACTTCTGTCAGTCCTCCAGCTGTCAATCAAGATAAATGGTCTCTTTAAAACCCCTATCAGATCCGAGGTATCGTCAGAGTTGGATTCTGGCCGCTGTCAGTGCAAAGCAGCAGCGCACACTTGTCGCAGCAAGAGCTCCGTGGATAAAGAGTTCGTGTGGAATAAAGGTGCGCAAAATGACAGATATTCCGCCGGGGCGCACATAAACTGCGTTGGATTGTGGTAGATGGATGAATTTCACTCTATTTAGTGTCCGTCAACTTTGCAAAATAAGGCGAAATTGCCTTAACCACTCCTGTAAAATAGGAGTAAAGGTGATCGCTCCGAGCAAGGATTCAATTAGTTCAGCAATTGTTCCAGGCGAGAACTGAGATAAGCGAATATACTGAGGGAGTGAAATGGATCTGAAGGCGCTGGGCTGCGTGGTCCTCTTACCTATTCAGATATTCTACTATATTGTCAAGGCGACCGTGTGCTGGTTCTTACCGAGCAGGCGGAGAGATCTGACCGGAGACGTGGTGCTTATCACGGGTGGCGGACGGGGCATCGGCCGTCACCTGGCTAAGGAGTTCGCCGTGCGTGGAGCTAAAAAGGTAAACATGATGTATCATTACTGTTAGTTATATGGCTTGGCATACTGCGTAATATTTCAATTCAAAACTTTCCATGGGTGTATGGTGTTAGTATATAGCCCCATAGTTTGAATTCCTGGAGGTCTCCCTCTTTCTTTCCCTTTATGATTGTTAACTGTAAGTCAAAACTATCAGTTAGACTGCACAAAGTTGCATAACTGCTATTAATGTAAAGATAATTTAGCTATAATTATGCAATGTTATTATCAATAAACCTAAATGTATATTCTATGACTGTCTTACCCTTACAAAAATGATCAGTTTCCACCAAAATACAATATTTTCAGTGTGAGAAGCTTTCAGAATCTAGCTGTAATTTAAATGGTTCACTGCACCTCCTTAACCACTATAAAGGTTATTACATGCACGGAGAATAGGCTACTGATTTGAATATTAGGCTAATTAAGGGAAAGTTGTTTTTAAAAATGATTAAAACATTTGTACAGTGTAGCTGTACTGTAATAATCATAAATGTAGAAACCATAGTATGTATGTGAAAACTGTGGTTATCATGGCATGTTTTGTAAGCTAATCCACATTAACACAAATCATTAGCCACGTAATGGATGTGTTTGTTTTGTTTTGAAAAGTATCAGTCTGGATGGGCTACTCCTCTCCCTAGGGACACTGCATGTCCTGTTCATAAACCCATTGTCTCAAAAGTGCATAGGTCATAACCCCTATGGTCAACAGACCAATCAAAATGTAGAGCTGGAACCCAATGTCTGGTTCAACTTGTAATACAAACTGGGTCAACTAACAAACAGCTATTTTGAGGAAAACATCCTTCTTTCAAACTTTGACAGCTCTCATGTTCAGATTATTACACCGGCCATGTGGCCAACAGGTTCATGGTGCCAGCAACTTTGACCTTGACTAAACACTTGGATGATTAGGCTTCTGACTTTTCGTATGAATTTGTACTCTATTACGAGCTCTATCTGGAGTATTCATAATCCCATTGTCTCAAAAGTGCATAGGTCATAACCCCTATGGTCAACAGACCAATCAAAATGTAGAGCTGGAACCCAATGTCTGGTTCAACTTGTAATACAAACTGGGTCAACTAACAAACAGCTATTTTGAGGAAAACATCCTTCTTTCAAACTTTGACAGCTCTCATGTTCAGATTATTACAGCGGCCATGTGGCCAACAGGTTCATGGTGCCAGCAACTTTGACCTTGACTAAACACTTGGATGATTAGGCTTCTGACTTTTCGTATGAATTTGTACTCTATTACGAGCTCTATCTGGAGTATTTAATGGCTTAATTAAATCTTTCACGTTGGCAGTAGTGTAATGTTTTTGTGTCCCAGCAGTCAGATTGCAAAGCACAGTCTAATGAAACAGGACTGTGTTCTGAAAGTCAAGAGCTGGGAAGAAATGTCTCACCCACCCAAGACATCGCATTATAAATAGACCCAGTGGCCCAACTGTAATAAACAGAGCTTAATAACTTCTGTAACTGTGACAGGGGCCCCCATGCTTGGCGGCATTACACCCATGGCTCTACTTTGATTTATACACATTTCCCCTCCAGAGAAGCTTGTGTGTATGAGGCTAAATAAAAACCCATCATAAGAGTCGCAGCACAAACCTTACACAGCAAACAATTCGGAGACCTTAGATTCCTTAGATTCCTGAATGCTCACCAACATGCTCAACGTCCCAGGGCAAAGGTCTTTGAAAGAAGCAGCTTTGCAGCAGTACGTTAAAGGAAGCCACTGTGCTTGTCAACACCCCGTTGTTAGCCATTGTCAAGGTGTGAAGGCTTTAGAAGAGACACCTGCAGTGGCTATCTTTACAGTTAACCCATTCTTAAGGAATGCTAAAAAGGCATGAATCATAAATGCACAGCCTCAAATTTAATTGACCACTATGTGGGGGTTAAAATTTTCCAGAAAGCAACCATTTATTATGCCGTCCAAGAGGTCAGCAAATCTTCACTGCATGGTAATTCAACACTGGAAATATTTAGCAAAAATTATGTCATCGCCCACTTACCAAACCCTAAATGATGATTTGAAGAACCAAGAAAAATAAAAAACAAGAACAGAAATTCTGGAGCTCTTGAAAATAAAGGTTCTTTATTGGCATCTATAGATCCATACAGCCAAATACCTTTAATATTCATGGAACTTGAAAAATAATCTTTAGATTATTTAAATATTGTTTGCACTAAGAAAGAAATTGAGCTTTTCACCAAAAGTTTCTTCTGCCAAAACCCTCTTTTGGAACCTGTGTACAGAAGCACCATCATCAGTAACCATCCATGTGGTCCCATGGCTAATGGCTTAAGGAAGTTTGAAGGAAGTCAGCCCTATGTAAATTGCTTTCTGTATGTGTATGGGCTGGGGGGAGGGTGGCAGGGACCATACAGCTCCCAGCTGGGCAGTGCCCTGTGGCTGACCCTTCTGTCTCCACACTAATTAGACAGCGGCAGGCGACTGCCTCCTGAACTCCTTGTGCCCCCGCCCACGTTCAGACCCATTCCATACGGTGCAAAGTGGATGGTGAAATGCTGATGTTATCATGTCTTTCACCATAAACCAGCTTAAATGGTCATTCATGAGGGCTTCAAACACAGAGCATTCATCATTTGTGTTCATCTTTAAGGAAACACAATGTGTGTCCTCACAGGACTAGATTAAGGACGGTTTGTTTGCTCCTTATTTTCGCATATTATATGCTAATGCAGTGCACTCAGCCATTGCTACTCTAAGGACTATAAGACTTGCTAATGTGATGTGTGCAGATGTGTGCAGATGAAGCTCATAGTGGGATTGTAAGGGAGACCACCTTGTGAGCTCTTGTTCTCTGACAAAAAAAACAAAACAAGATTGTTGTGAAATCCTATTAGAAGCTTAATCAATACCTTCCCAGTAATTAGCTCAAAGGTCATGCATATAAAGCAGACCCATACAAGAACACACAGGCAAGTTCATCAAATAAACGTGCATTAGGCCAAAGAGGTGAAATCACCTACAGATCAGACCACCTTTGGCTTAATTCATCAGCAAACATCACTGATAGGGACCACAGAGATTGCTCCAGGTTAATTAGGATGGCTAACATTAAATCGTTATCTGGTTAGAATTAATTTAGCTAGAAAAACACAGCATAAAACAGTTAAATTTTTGGTGAGTAATGTTTCTTCACATTTCAGATTGACCCTAGTAATAGCTCAATTTTTCCATGTAGGAGTCGGCTGAAATACATTGAAAAGAACACACCACATGTTTAGAGGCTGGAAATTTCCACAAACCCTTTCTCGAAAAAAAAAAAACAGTATTAGACCAATTACAGGCAACCATGGTGAATAAATGTGAACCATTTTTCAGTGACAACCAGCCAGCAGTGTGAAAAAGGTAACTGTGCACTTCAATATTCAGTTCTTGCCATTAAAAGCAAAGCTTTGTGAAAGTAAAAACCTCAAACCAGACCCTGGGTTTAGCTGACAACGGTATTTCGGTTCCAATAAAACTAACTGTTAATGGAGGGGCAAGGCTAAGTTCCTTTTACAGGCCATCATTATAAAATATCATATTAGCTCTCCACTAGTTAGTGATGGACATATTCACACATTTATTTCAGAAATCAGGACATATAACAGAATATTGTTTTTATATTAATTTAATTATAGTGTTACTGTAGACCAGTGTTGTTATTTTTAATGGAAAAAAATGTGTTTTCAATTATTAAAATAAAGCTGAAACAAAATTAAATATAAATATTAAATTACAAACGTAAACAACACACATAATGACAAAAGCACATAATAAAATTACTAAAATTAAAATGAAAGCTATTAAAAAAACAATAGAAAGTCAACCAATAGAAGCCAATTCATAGTATTGTATATACTAAAATACTGCTGCAGACTAACCATAACCGAGTTAGTTAGTAAACAAATAAATAAATGAATAAAATAGATTTTTATATTCATATTTTTCCAAATGAGGAAGATTTTGTCATCTTAGCTAATGTCTGCAGCAATATTTGTCCCAAAAGGACAGTTAACCAATGAGTGCACGCACACACACACATTGTGTTTCCATGTTTTATGGGGACATTCCATAGGCGTAATGGTTTTTATACTGTACAAACTGTATTTTCTATTGCACTACACCAACCCTACACATATACCTACCCTTTACAGAAAACTTTCTGCATTTTTAGATTTTCAAAAATCTTCATTCAATATGGTTTATAAGCTTGTTTCCTCATGGGGACCTAAAAAAAGTGGTATTACTATCCTTGTGTGGACATTTTGTCCCCATAACGTGATAAAAACCAGGTACACAAACACACACACACAATTATGAGGTTGTTGCAGCAGAAAATGGCTGGGTCAGTATTCCCAGTAGGCTGTGTAATCTCTATGAGAACTGTCTGTGAGAGATGATGAGGCAGCATCACTGATTTCATTACCTTTCCTTGACCTCTCAGACTGACAAATCTAATTGACCAATCACTGCCCCCCTATGTTCCCTGTCCCAGCCAATCCATTCACATAGGCTTCTCTCTTAATCCTTCTCCAAACTAATAGTGGCCGTGAAAAATAGCCCCACTGTTCCTTCATTGAATGGGACTCTTCTGTTTATACCATACCCAACTACTGTGTTTCATATGTTGGTGTGGTATATACTGTATTCATCACAAATGGAAAAAGCTTTTGTAGTAAAAATTGTGGTATGACCCTTGTGGTGTGTGGCATATTTTAAATTTGAAATTCATTATTATTTATTTTTTTCCATGGAATACCATTGTAGAATACCACATTTCTCCTAGTCCTCATATAGAGTTCCAAGTAAATGTGGTTTTAATTTAAAAAGCACATACACAAACTAATAGTGGCCGTGAAAAATAGCCCCACTGTTCCTTCATTGAATGGGACTCTTCTGTTTATACCATACCCAACTACTGTGTTTCATATGTTGGTGTGGTATATACTGTATTCATCACAAATGGAAAAAGCTTTTGTAGTAAAAATTTGTGTGTGGCATAATTTAAATTTGAAATTCATTATTATTATTTTTTTTTTCCATGGAATACCATTGTAGAATACCACATTTCTCCTAGTCCTCATATAGAGTTCCAAGTAAATGTGGTTTTAATTTAAAAAGCACATCCTGAAATACAATAACAGATTATCATCTGACTCATGCTTTCTGTCAAAAGTTTTGGCATGAATTATAGGCCACATATCCTCGTGTTTACTAGTAAACACCCACACTGAAGAACGCAAGTCATGATAAATCAGGTAAGACACTGTTAAAGCACAACAACTGACAACATGAAATTCTTTCAAGCAAATTAAATCTACTTTGAAATGTGAATTCATGTGACTAAGTACTTAATCTGTGCTATTGAGCAGTGACGTATTATGGTTTTGCTTTCGGAAAGATGATATATGGCCAATATGACAGATCCCATCATGCTTCGTAAACCTTTAGACTTCTTGCCAGTTTTCTGCTCTGGTCCACCTTTGACATGTGGTTCCTATCTCTTAACAGCTAATCCTGTGGGGCCGGACGGAAAAATGTCTGAAGGAGGCATGCGAGGAGATTGCCCTCATGGGGACGGAGTGCCATTATTTTGTTTGCGATGTGGCCAACAGAGAAGAGGTTTACAAGCAAGCCAAGGTTGTCAGAGAAAAGGTATGCCCCATAATATCATACTCTGAGGAGTTTCTTAATTACGATCATAATAAGATTAGTTCAAACTGGTTGGCTCTAATAACCTGTAATAACCCCAGTGCTGGCTTTGTCTCAGCTCTGTTGCCTTCCACCCCCGTAGCCTGGATAGAGATTACACTTAGCCTGAAATGTCTGGGTTAGATAAGGCCCAGCAGTATGGCAGAGCTAACTAGCCATGAAAGAGAACAAAAGCACATTTTTGGAAAGAATATCTCACAGTGGGTCTTTTTTTCTCATGGTAGGTGGGAGATGTTACCATTCTAGTGAATAATGCTGCAGTGGTGCATGGAAAGAGTTTGCTTGACAGTGATGATGATGCTCTTCTGAAGTCACAGCATATCAACACCATGGGACAGTTTTGGGTAAGTAGATAAATGAGTTGGGAAAGGATAAGTTAGAATGGGTTTGTCTGATTCAATGTTGTCAAAACTAAAACAGCTATTAAAGTTGCATTAATCTAAATGTAACACTTTCTTGTCTTTTCTAGTTTGCTTCCAAATTAAGGTGACCAGACGTGCCACTTCCCGGAGACACATTCTGCCCAGGATTTCATCTGCCGCAGATGTTTTTGCTGCGCCGATCGATCGTTGTATGACATCAAAGTACCTCGAGAACTATAGAAAGCAGAGCAGATAGTTCCTTATGCTTTCCAATCACTCTCGCGGTACTTTGATGTCATACAATGATCGATTGGCGCAGCACAAACAACCAGCACCTAGTTATTTTAGGCAATTTAGAAATCCTGGGCAGAACGTGTCCCCGGGAAATGGCACGTCTGGTCACCTTATTCAAAATAGTTTAATAAACCTGGTATTGCATATTACGAATATTGTTGGCTCTTGTCTGCCAAATGCATAAATGTAAACAAATGTTACAATTGTTAAAAATCAAAATGTTGCCTCTGCAAATAAATGGAAATAAGTTTAATTTAAATAATAAAATTGCTAAAACTAAAATAAATACTCAAATAAAAACGTATTTTTTTAGAATTACTAAAATAAATGAATAAAATTAAGATATAAAATCTAATTCAAAACCTACTGGTATCGGTATCAGGCCCGATACCGGTCTCCTGTACTCGTACTCGTTAAAATGCCCCGATACCAAACGCCGATACCACACAGCATGTGATAAATGCCATATTCAAACAAAGAAACACCAACAACAGAACAACAGACAGCAGAAAGGAGTTAAGGATGTCTACTATGAAGTATATGTATGCAATGAATATAATGTTAAACATTCGGTATTAACGCCTGTATAGCTGATGTGCGCGAGCTGATAAACAAATCACGCTGAGTGGATTGAGCGTGCGGCGGCGCAGATGCGCGAGCTTGTCGAGTGAATATATCTTTCTCACAGACATCACTGGAAAGTTTGTAGTTCGGTCGGATATGTAAAAAACAAGTAAGTAAAACAATGGACAAGTTACTTAACGGTAGGGGGAGAGAGAGAGAGAGACAGAGAGAGAGAGAGCGCACGCGTGCAATTCTGTAGTGTGATCTTGTATCACAGTTAGGAGCTTTAGAACGAGTGGTTCCCTGCATTATTACAGCAAAGCGCGTGATTACAGTACTAAGCCTCTGCTCTAATGCTATTAAATTAAAGATGATGTACCATAGAGCAAAAAAATTAACAGTGAAAGTAACAAAAACGTGTAAAATACGTTTTAATGGGCATAATTAAGTGTGAAAATAACCAAAAATTATTCAGAGACCAGATATAATTTTTGATATTTTTTTGTGGGTGCAGGACACTATAGTTCATTTATGTAAGTGAGGACCACAAATTTTGGTCCAAAAATTATTCATACCGAGTCTGGGAAAAAAACATGAGGTTTGCATGAAGCTGGATGACAGCATGCCCAGGAGACTACAGGCTGTCCTTGAGGCTAAGGGTTGTCCGACAAAGTATTCATAGTTGTGTAAATACTGTCATACTAACAGCTGTCTGAATTATTTTGGTTGATTGTAATCTATTACATACCTTTCTATCAAAATTATCTAACATTATCAAGATGAATTTGTTCTGACACAGTGTAACTCTGAGTTCTTGTCATATTTTATTACCATTTTCTAAACTATAGCGAATATAATGTGAGAAATGTTGAAGGGGTCTGAATAAATTTTGGTTTGACTGCATCTATTTGATAAATGAAGTTAACCAACTAACATTATACATACCCTTTTGGTTTCTGTACCCAATATTTAAAAAATTTACAAATGCAATAAAAATATCGGTATCGGTACTCGGTATCGGCAAGTACCAAAAATAAAAGTATCAGTATCGGGCGAGTACTGGAAAAAGTGGTATCGGTGCATCCCTAGTAGTAGTAGTAGGAAGTAGGCAGTGAGCGTGATTTCACCAAGTACAACATGTTCCTGGATCAACACCCATTTAGAGAAGCTAAAGTGTAATTTGTGTTCCAAAATTTAAAACAAAAAAACATCCCCAATTTGCTATTGGTTAATCAAACACAGTCCCACAGCCAAACGCGCACCACTGGTTAATGTTGCTATGTTAGACTAAAACAAATAATGCAATGTTGTATGAGTTATGAGAAAGTATTTTAAGTTAATAACATCATTTACATATTAGGTTATGTAATATTTGACATTTTTATCACCTGCCTTCCAAATTCCTACTTCCAGGGGATTAATTTACCTTTTAATAATCTTTTCATCCACAGACCACAAAAGCCTTCTTGCCTCGTATGCTGGAACTGCAAAATGGTCATGTTGTGTGCGTCAACTCCATCCTGTCTCTTTCGCCCATCCCTGGTGCTATAGACTACTGCACTTCTAAAGCATCATCACTAGCCTTCATGGAAAGCCTCACTCTGGGGTTGCTGGACTGCCCGGGGGTGGGCTGTACCACTGTCCTCCCGTTCCACACCAACACTGAAATGTTTCAAGGCATGAGAGTCAGGTGAGCTGATGGGTACAGCACAAATTAATTCACTCATATAGACAGCTTTTGATCCATCCAAATAATTGATGGAAGAAATCAATTCAGTCTACCTTTCCTTTTGATGATCCCATTTCAACTGGCAGTAAGTCACATCGAGGAAGCAAAATAGGTTAGATCATCATTTTAAGTACTTTTATGTGAACATCAAATCAAAATGGACCCGGTTTTGTTAACGCGTTATTGTGTGATATTTTGAATGATTCATCACAACACATTATTCCAAAAAAAACAATTTTCTTCGTAATCTTTAATTAGAATGCAATAACTTGGTTTTCAGGTGAAACGGCTTTACTTTTCTGTTGATGTCACATCACACAGATGTGACACAAACACACACTGTTACATGTGTATACATATACATACACACATATACATATACATATACACACACACATATACATATACACATATATATATATATATATATATATATATAATAACCAATAGCCAAATCGCTTTTAAAGGGATAAGTTCACCTTCATTTGGTCCCCATTGACCTCCATGGAAGTCAATGGGGACCAGCAACTGAAGGTGAACTACCCCTTTAAGACATTAATTTAGCAATCTCACATTTGATTTTCTTTGTTTACCATTTCACAATGGTGCATATTTGTGAGTCAATAAAAACAACTGTTTTTTCTCTGCAGGTTCCCCCAACTCTTCCCTCCTCTAAAGCCTGAGGTGGTAGCCCAAAAAACAGTGGATGCTGTTAGGACCAATACAGCCTTTGTTTACCTACCCTGGACCATGCATGCACTCATTATCCTCAAAAGGTATAGCCTGATACCATTTACGAATATAAATTATTTCAGCAAATGTGTTTTGAAAACCCTCACTGATTATATACTTTGTTTTACCCTTGAAACAGTATGCTACCACAGAGTGCCCTTGAAGAAATCCACAAGTTCTCAGGAAGCTACACCTGCATGAATACTTTCAAGGGACGGACATGAGAGGTCTAGAAACGACAATGGAGTTTCAAATGTTACCATTTTTTTAAGAAAACTGTTTCGTGGTCGAACAAGAGCTATGGAGTATGCCAGAAGCAGTGCATTAGAAGAAAAATAAGGCATGCCAGTGCACATGGTGCCTCATTTCTAGGACCCTTTGCAGGTCACCACTGACTTCTGTGTTGCAGTGTTGGACAAACACAGAATGGACACAAAAAAGCCTCAACCGACCGCCGTACTGTATGTTTACTTTAAAGTTTTGAACAATCACATTTTTAACTACTGTCACTGTAAATTCAGCATCTGAATAAAAAGCAGTTTTAAAGAGAAAAGCCTTCTATTGGGATGTTTTAAAATCCAGGCTCACAAAGTAAAGCTGTGGTTGGACTAGCCCTGGGCATCATACGGTTGGAAAGTCTGTGTTGTCCCGCGGGTCGACAGCAATAAATGCCTCTTCAGCACTTCATACTTACCAACACAACAGGCTTGACCTGCTGCTCCAGCACGTGGGTTGACTCATTCCCCCTGTCAGATAAATTCACTGTGCTGCTGGTGGAAAGAAATAAGTCAGATCTCTTTTGTGTCATTTTTCTTGGTCTCTTCTCTCTTGAAAAGATACAACAAATATGTGAGCTTGGTTTTTTTCAAAGCAGGGTCGAGTTACCTTTTTAACTTTGTGTTGAAGGTTTGGCTGGCTCAATTGTAACTTTCAAAAGTGTGTACTTTGTTCTGAGAACAAAGTTAAAGGGAGACCAGGGAAAATGCTGTGCTTTCTTGTGATTTGCTTTATGGCAAGCTGGAAATATTTAACCACAGATCCATCCAACCACTGCTGTGGTGCTATGTAAAAAAAAAAACCTGTGCCTTTCTAAGATTAAAAGTATAGTACAACTCTCTTGATGTGATCTGAGGCTATTTACTAAAGCTGTTGATTTAAAAACATATTTCAATAATTTTTTTTACCCTGTGTAACATTCAAGCTCTCAAAAGGGGCTGTCAATTAACCATGTTGATTTAAAACAACTAATAACAATTATTATTAAGTAAATGTATTTATTTAGATACTTCAATTAGGGCTGTCAGTTTAACGCATTAACTTAATTGGTTATGAAAAATAACGCTATTAAAATATTTATATTTCATTTAGATTAATGCAATATATAAATATTTTAGAGCAGCAGTGCATCACACGAGTGCTGATTTCGTCCCGTATATCACGAGTTTAAATGTGATTTTATACAACAGTAAATAAAAAGTTGATAAAGTATATTTTAAACAACAACAATATTATGCGTTTTTGCTCAATTTTGCAGAGAACATATTACCTTTATAGCCATTACAGAATTGTTGAGCGTCTCCAAGCAACACAGCTGGGTTTAGTTTCTGAATGAATCTGCGTTTTGAACGAATCATGTGAACCAATGATTCAAAGCCTCATTCATAGAGAGCCATTTACTTAATTCCTTAATGAACGAATCGAATGAAAACATTTACCGCCACCTGCTGGCAGATTTCGTTTTTTTATTTAGAGTATAATTTCACAAAATAATAATAATAAAAACGTTAATATTATAAATAATAAAAACATTAAAGGGATAGGCCTAATTCACCCCCCCAAAAAATGTAAATTCTGTCATAATTTACTCACACATGTCGTTTCAAACACTTCTTTTGTGGAACATAAAAGAAGGTATTTTGAAGACTGGTCACAAAGCTGTTTTGGTTAATGACTTTCATTGTATGAACAAAAAATGCTGAGTTGTTTCTAAAATTATCTTCTTTAATATTCCATAGTTTATGTTAGGCCGTTGTAGCTTAAATGTTTGTGTATAATACATTTTATGTTCAATCAAATAAAAATTCTCTTACTAAAGCTACAATTTGTAATGTCTACTTGATACGTTCTCATTTAACACAAAATAGCTTTAAATAATCTTTTGTGGGTATTTTCAGTCAAATTTATTTTGCGATTAATTAGATTAATTAATTGACACATCATGTAATTAATTAGATTACAAATTTTATTCAACTGACAGCCCTAATTTAAATTAAAATAGTTAAATATTTTAATTGTATTAATGTGATAAATCTAATTCTGTTAAATTTTTTATTTGATTGACCAGTGTTGTTAAACATTAAATAATTTTTACTAATTTAAATAATGCTGAAATAAAATAAAAAAGATGAGAAACTGACACTTAAAAATTGCCAACTGAAATAATATAAACTCTATTAAATTCTAAAAATAAAAGCTATTGCCAAAATATCTCTCAACGCTTTGGTCTATGTACTGTGCAAACATTCATATCTGAAGTGCAAAAAACAAGTTCAACCCTCTGTGCAAGTCCTAACGATGAAGAATAAATAAAAATGTGGGATCTGTCTGACCTCTGGACAGAATCACATAAGAATTATATTAATCACAGTAAACCACAAGCACCTTCTTCAACAATTACAGCTATGCTGCACATCCTGAGTTTGAGAAGAAAATAAATTAAAACATGCTCAGTTAAAGGAAAAATAGGAGTCTCTTGTGGGGACTGGTTTTCATTGCCCCAGAGTGGGCCATTTGAAATGCTGCAGGAAGAACGTAAAGTCGCCCGAGGGTCATGAAATTGGGGAGTTGTACGTATGCAAAAGAAAAGAAGGGTTCAGACCCCAGCGGGAAGGTTCAGACCAGGGTTAGTCAAACATAAATCATAGACCTCTCATACTGCATACATACTCAATTGCAAAGACTGCTTGAAATCATTAAACCATGTTTGCAGTCCATCCTCAGTGATCAGACTTTGATCAGAGTCCCTATGAGCTGGAAAAAGACATATGTGGAACAGAAAAACAAAACGACAAAAAAGACAATGACTTTTCCCCACCCGGAGCAGGATTTATTATTCCCAAATACAGACGAGACATTCTTCATAAAACACATTGCTTATTAATTACTCCTTGTATGTGTATCTCCTTCTGAGAAGCCTCGTATAAGATCAGAATGAGAGCAAGAATACTGATGATTTAATTCAGAGTGTATCATGATGTCTCTGATCCACTCAGTCCCTGCGGATTCATGAGTGGGAATCTTAATGTTGCAGGTCTGTGGTTATGCATTTATGACATCGGTACTTTATTCTGCCGAATCTGTTTTCCATATTAGTCTGTAATCCTTTTTTCTTTCAATCCATATTTCCTGACTCATGGATCAAGAAGGCTTATGAGGAAATGCAAAAAGCCACAGAAATCCTAAAAAAATGCACTCTGAAAGGGCAATGTCATGGTTGATGGAATAAGAGAAAACAACATAAATCATCAAGGCAAATATTTGAAACTCAACTAGCTTTAAATGTTACCTTTTTTCTCCTACATGCTTACTTTCAAACGGTCTTAAAATATTCCAAAATATATTAAAAAAAAGGCAATTTTTTAGTTGTAATTATCACATTCATTGTATTTGGTAATTATGGTCAATCCTATTATCTTACATTAGTCTGTTCTTGATGCCTGGATTTGGATGGAATTCACTGTAAATGAGTTTGGGCATGTTCCTGTAGTGTTACTACGCTCATGATTAGCACTGTTGCTAGTTCGACATGCTGTTCATCCATCATTCAGTAGCTGATCTGACAAAATGAGACTTTGCTGACCCCCAGCAAGGGGCTGAACCTCATGCCTCAGTTGACCTGTCTGCTGAGAATTATGGGCAACTGAGGCATGAGGTTAAAGGTCATGCATAGTCAGTGTCCTTATGCCCAGACAGAAAAGTAGAGTTTATTAACATTTATTACCCATAATTTACTAAAAGGTTATTTGGGTAAAATTATATGCATGTTAACATTTACTTATTTTAATGTTTAACAAACATGTAAATAATAATAGTTCATTCACAAATCTTTCTGAACTTTCATGAACATTCCAAGATGACAGATGTCAAGATTTTAATAAATAATGGTTTACGGTTTAATCTCTTATGTATGGCTTCAGAAGACTTCGAATATAGTCATATGGACAACATTTATCATACTTTATTGGTGTTTTTGTCTTTTTTATGCTTGAGAGCCTCAGTACCCAATAACTGGAATTGTGAGGAATAGAGCAAGTAAGTCATGAAGGTAAGGAAGTAATTACAGAATTTTTGGGCAAACTATCCCTTTAAGAAGAATATTGCTAATTTATATCCTTGTGTGTGGTCGTAGCAGAGAATGAACAGTAACATATAGTTCCCATATCAGACACTACACCTGGTTCTATCAGAGTGTGCAATGCTCCTCTAATGCTTCCTCTATAGATGAAGCATACAGAAAAGCAGTGTTCTTATCAGCAAGGATCTTTCCTGTGAACTGTGGTGAACTTCCACTCTCGCTATATCTTTTTTCATTAGCATTGCTTTCTGGAACGCTGTTATCACTGTAGTAGATCAAAGCAGGAACAACAACAGAACCGCGAACATCACAGCCAGGCGAGAAATTACATAAGGGCTGCACAGCCGTGCCAGATCAGCTCGCCTTTATGGCCGGGCTGTTTATTACACTCAAGCTTTCAAGAGATTACAACGGAGACAAAAACAAAGACTTTGCAATGATTCTTTACATTGATCTCTGCATGTGCTCACTTTTGATGGAATAGCATGTGTGTTGTGGGAATTAGATAAAAGGGATAGTTCTTCCAGGGTTGCCCAATTGCATTTTGTTTCCTGCAGTTTTCCCCTCTGTCAAAATCACAATCCAGGTAGAGATTGCTTTAACCTGCAGACTAAAAAACATCCAGCTGCAACAGTGTATAAATAGCCTCATTCCACGGGAAAACCTCGGATTTGGCAACAATGAAGTCATCCAAAAATGCCATTTCTGTCAGTGTCTCTTAAACAGAGAACAAAGAAAGCACTAGTTTATCAAAATATTAAAATGTTAATGCAGTCTCCTTACTGTTTTTCCCTGACACATTCATAAATATTACTTCTGCTAGTGCGCTGTGGCAAGCTTTATGCATGTGTTGGAGTGCTTATTAGGCTATGTAGGCAATTAAAGGCTCATAATAGCCTAATGATTTAAAAGGTTTATTAATAAACATGCGATTAGTCAACTAATGCTTAAAATTAACGACTACTAATCGACCAGAAAAATCCTTAGTTGAGGACAGCCCTAGACCCTAATAACTTTCACTGTATGAACCAAAAAATAAATAAAAAATTCTTCATTTGTGTTTTACAAAAGCAAAAAAATGCATACAGGGTTGGAACAACATGAGGGTGTGTAAATTATGACCATTTTCATTTTGGGGTGAAATGCATCCATTATGGTGCTTTAGGGGCCTCTATGTTATCAAACCCATGAGTTTAGCCAGCTGACACAAAGAAAGAGACGTCCTACATGCTTGCAAACAGAATGAAAGGCAGAAGAAAATGCAAACAGACAGAGGGAGTGGGGTGCATGGGTTAAACACAGTTTAGGATTTGGCAATGTATTCTGGGGTCTTTTTAAAGGCCACCAGGCCACAAATTTGGAGCCTCCACTGAAAGTGCTGTTCCC